AACTCATCTTTGACAAAGCAGGAAAGAATGTCCAATGGAAAAAAGACAGTCTCTTCAACAAATGGTGTTGGGAAAATTGGACAGCCACATGCCGAAGAATGAAAATGGACCATTTTCCTTGCACCACACAAAGAAATAGATTTCCTGTTAACTTCTGAGTAAACTGATCAATTACCCTAATTCCTGAACAGCTGTGGTTACATTATCAATCATTTTAGATATATACAATCTGAGGTTCTGTGGTGATCATTTCAATCAAAACCATCAGGAAAAAATATATTCAAGACAGATTAACCAACCAGAAAGCAACCTATAACTTATATCATCTTGCTGTTAATTTAAGTATAACGTGAGGTCTGACTTTATAACATCAGTACCTATGCTAATAAAGAAAGTAGTACTGGGTGCCTGCGTGGCTCAGTCGTTAAGCGTCTGCCTTCGGCTCAGGTCATGATCCCAGGGTCCTGGGATCAAGACCCACATCGGGCTCCCTGCTCGGCGGGAAGCCCGCTTTTCCTTCTCCCACTCCCCGTTTGTGTTCCTGCTCTCGCTATCTCTCTCTGTAAAATAAATAAAATCTAAAAAAAAAAAAAAAAAAATAGTAGTACTTTGTTGCAGACAAAATGGAGTCCTACATTTATGTCACAAAATGGTCTAACTTTCACTTCTAGAGTAAGAACAGAAATGTGCTCTGGGGGGAAACACACAAACAGTACTCTTTGGTTTTATATGAATTAAAAAACAGGGTTTGTGTATGGATATAGCCATAGGTATCAAATGGCATTTTTGTATTGTTGTTCATGTTTGTCTGTTTTAAAGAAGATTGTACAAACATAAGAAACTTTTGTCAAATTTCAAGTCACTTTCCATACCTGCTGCTTCCGTCTCGGAAACCCTTCTATGTATGCAGTTTGAGGCTACACATCTTACTGTTAACAACCAGCAACCACACCCATCCATCATTCTCTCCAAAATTATAAGCTATTATTATAATGGACAAAAATCACTATAAGAACTTTGCATTCAAACAATTAAGCAAACAGGAGTTAAATTAAGCCTCTGTACACAATGTTTACATGATGTGGAAAAGATAAAACAGCCTTTCCAACTTTTGACAGTTACCTAAAACGTACATGTGTCTTTGGAGTGGAGGGCATAGGCCAGGATGGGCAAAGCTTTGCGATATTGATAAATTAGTTTTGAACTCTGTGAATGTATTACTGACTCCAAAAAAATACAATTATAACACAGTATTTTTTACAATGCTTAACATGTTGCCATTACATTACTTAGTAGACCTTTACCCATTTTTAGTTACTTGCTAAGAATTTGAATTCAACTGTCTTTCCAAGTTCTGGAAATCATTACTCTAGAACATTAAAATTAATAATAGCTCAAGAAAATGAGAAGACAAGTCACAGACTGGGAGAAAATGTTTGCAAAAGACACGTCTGATAAAGTACTATTGTCCGAAACAGAGAACTCTTTAAAACAGTAAAACCCGATTAAAAATTGGCCAAAGACCTCAAAGATATACAGATGGCAAGTAAGCACACAGAAAGATGCTCCACATCGTATGTCATCAGAGAAATACAAATTGAGATACTACTGCACACCTGTTAGAATGGCCAAAATTCAGAACGCTGACCAACACCACATGTTGGTGAAGACGTGGAGCAACAGGATCGTTCATACATTGCTGGTAGGAATGCAAAATGGTACAGCCACTTTGGAGGTTTGGTGGGTTCTTACAAAATTAAACATATTCTTACCACACCAGCAATCGCACCTGGTATTTACCCATAAGAGTTGAAAATTTATGCTCACACAAAACTTGCACAATGATTTAAAGATTTATTCATAATTGCCAAAACTTAGAAGCAACCAAGATATCCTTCAGTAGGTGAATGGATAAACTGTGGCACTTCCAGGCAATAGATTATTTATTCAGCACTAAAAAGAAATGAGCTATCAAACCATGAAAGGCATGGAGGGAACTTACGCATGTATTCCTAAGAAGTGAAAGAAGCCAATCTGAAAGGTTACATACTACATGATTCCAACTACATAGGACATTCTGGAAACGGCAAAATTACAGAGTAAAGATCAGTAGTTGCCGGGGGTTAGGGTGAGGCTGAGGAATAGGCAGATTTTTAGGGCAGTGAAAATACTCCATATACTATAGTGATGGATACAGACCACCATACATTTGTCCAAGCCCATAAAGTGTACACCGAGGGTGAACTGTAAACTATGGACCAAGTGGTAATCACGTGTCAATGTAGGTTCAACAGTTTTAACAAATACACCGCTCTGGTGGCAGATGCTAACAGAGGAGGCTGTGCACAGGCTGGGGGCAGGGGAGACGGTATATGGGGAATCTCTGTACTTTCAATTTTGCTGTGAATCTAAAAGCTGCTCTAAAAAGATAGCCTTTAAAGTTTAATAGGGCATTCTTACTATGTGCCAGCCACTGTTATCATCCTTATTCACAGATCCTGATTCCAGGGTCCATTATCTTCTTAACCATTATACTACTCAAAAAGTTCTTTCCTTCACAAACTCATGCTGTGGAAGTCCACCACAGATCAAACCGGAAGCTCTAGTTTTACAGATAAGGCCCACTGAATAGATTGCATAAAAGGACTAGCCCAAGGTCATAGTTCTTATCATGGTCTGTCCCAGCAAAACATTTTTGGAGTGGGAGTGTGCAGACGTTGAGTCCATGTAAAGAAAAACATGTATATTCTTCAAATGTTTAAGATCTCAGTGTACATCCCAAAGTCCACTTAGTCCCCAGAGAACATTCAGGTCTGAATCAAGTCTAGCTAACATTGAGTCTTCCTAGCTGCCTTATACTTTCTCCCTAATCAGCTGATGCTCCTGACAAATTAAATCCTCAAGTCCAAATCTGTTCTAAATACTGCTTAAAAAATTATGGAAACATTACCATCTCATGCTGCACAAAGTTACAGACCAATGAAGGGCCCATCATCTTGCTAAGTCTTCTTTATCCCCCAGATACCACCTTGATTCAACTGTAAGATTTAAAATTCATCAAGCAAATGTTGACAGGGCGAAGCACTGCGGGGAAATAAATGTTAGTTTCAACTTTAAAAAAAATTATTGGCCTTAATACTGTAATTTTCACCTCAATTATGGTTCTTCAGTATCTTCGTATTTCTGGAGATTATCTCATGGATTTCCCCCACTTGAGGCAAAAGTACCAGCACCCAAAGAACTGTGACAGATGATAGTGAACCAGGGTATTTCCATTTCAAACTCCATCACTGAAAAGTCATGGTTCTGCTTTTGGCTTCAGCTACCCCATGGGCCCATCTCTACATTAAAACCAAACCCAAAACAGAAATAAAACTATGCCTGTTTTTGTATACAAATTGTCATGTCTGAAGTGTCACCTATAAAGCAAAAGAATGGAAAAGGGAGATAGGCCATGGTTATTAAAATTCCATTCCTTTCTCCTCCTAAGTTCTAAGATGGTTGTGATCCTAAAAAGTGCCTATTCATTTCTTCAAAAATAAACTGCCCACTGTGTACCATACTTGATGTTTCACAAAATTCAACATACGGTTCTCACTTGAACACATCATGTTCAGGGAAGGCAATTCAAAAAAATCACAATATAGCCATGCAAAGGCTACATACACAACTACAAAGTTGAAACATTTTCTAACTATTCCCCTTTATGACTTCTAACTACGGCTTAAAAACCCAATGGACAAGTGGAAGCTTCCCTCTGTACATGGCTTTTATTATTTACATAATACAATATAGCATCAATGCTGAATAGCATGATTATGTGCAATACATAAATATGAACTATCTGTACACATCTGCAGATCTAACTCAGAACTAAGGTACATAAAATTGAAAGCAAAACCGAATGCTGTAATTAAAGTAAAAACTAGGACCGAACACTGCAATAAATCAGAAGTAGTGCCTCGTGTACATACTTAACTATTTACAGATGAAAACAGGCATTACCACAATACTAATCTAACTATACTCATTTATATATAAAAAACACAAGTTTCATACATCACAAAAACCTTCCATTATAACACAGAAGTGATATTACCAGACAAGCATCAGTGAAGTATACTGCCTCTTCTAGTTGTTATTGTACAATGCTGTAGATAATGCAGCCCATGCAATACACCCAAGAACACTAGAGTCCTACACCCAAGTACAATTAATATGATAAAGCAGCCCTCTGCACGTGGTGCTGGATACCACTAAGAAGTCTACTGCAGCCGTGTTGGTTAGGGTTCTCCATGCAGAAGGGTACAGTTACATTAAGAACTGAAGTCTTTAAAAAAGCTTTAAACATTCTTTCTTGAACCAAAACATTCAACAAAAGATGCACATGAAAAATGAACTTTTCAGATACCTTTGCAACTTAAAATTCAGATGCATGTTATTCAACAGAGCTGCTGTATGTAAAAACCGAATGTAGTTTTAATTTCTTCTTGTAAACAAATTAAGCCTAGTGCAGTTCTGTGCTACACAACATTTTTAGCAGTGAGAGTAATGCAGACATCTTCTGGTGCTGGCCAGCACAATACGCTTCAAAGATCGCTCAAAGACCCTGTGGGCCTGATGGCTTTACTCATGATAACCAGTTGCGATGTTTACCTTTCACAGAATGTCTTATTTGACAGCTTTTAGAAGACAAATTAACCAGGCTTACATATGGCACCAAATACTGGTTTCACGGAAAGGTCTGATCCTCTTTATAGCTTTCCTCCTACTTCCAAAGAACATGTTGTGGAAATTAACAGGGTGAAGTTTAACTATGGTAGAAGTAGACTGCCAGTCCTTTTCTGGTGTACCATTTTTTTAAAAAATACAGGCACGTAACACTAGCCAAAGATTATACCTTGATTACATTCCCAAAAGGCAGATATGCTGCAAACATGCATAGATTTCATGTATTATGTTTGGCACGTGGGAACTAAATTCTGTCCCTATCGTCTGTGTATCTTCAATTTGCTGTGTAGATTTTCATCCAATTTTATTCAGGGGAGGGCATATACATTTTGTAGGGCTGTATCTATCCATTTCTGCCTGTAACAAACACCCAAACATCCTAAAATTTCAATTATAAGACAGACAAGTGTAAAGTAAAACTCTGGAGAACATCAAAGGAAAATGGCCATGCATCTGCTCTTTAATGTTTTCCTACGATATATTAAAATAAAAACAAAGTTTCAGTCTCTTCACAAGTAGTAATTTATATTCTCTGGATTTTTTCAGCCACAACAACTGGATTCTCTTTTCTGATTTTTGCTGCAGCTTCTGCTTTGTAATCATATGGACAGTTGTGCTTGTCAGAGTAACGGTGAAGTCCACAAAACAAATTTCCACATCGGCAGTCAAACCCTGTACACATAAGGAAGTAGAGTCACTTGGGAATTTGTAGTAATTAAAAGGAAAGGAAAAAAAAGCCTGTCACTATAGAAAAGGAACCAGATTTTCACGGTTCTCTACAACATGAAAGAGTCTGCCACTTTAAATTGTGAAAGAGCTTTCAGTCTCTTTTGACGTAGTGAGAAATTCAAGTAACTATCCTTCCATAAACTCCTGTAGATATCAGAGTAGAAATTACACAGGCTCTGGAGCCAGACTGACCTGGATGCAAACCTTCCTCCGACCACATATAAACTGGGTAATATTTCCTTAAGTGAAAACTAGGGAAAAGAACCACAGGGTTCTGAGATTTAAAGGGAACAGTTAAAAAGTATTTTAGCATTTTCTGCCTGGCTCAAAGATGGTGCTTACCGTTTAGTTCAGCTACCTTCCCCCAGGAGAACAAAGACAAGACTCAACAGGGATGAATTTTTATCAATCCAATAAAGCAAAGTAATTCAGAAGGCCTGAAGCTAATAAAGGGTTTTAGAGGATTAGAGACACAAATGGAAATCAAACCCAACTTCTCCCCATTATCCTGCCCTCTTTCTAGTCCACTCTGGAAACTTTCTGTTCCTGAAGGTCAGGCATTTTCTATAGGTGTTAAGACTGACCAGTCTCTTAGGGAGCTCCCTATTAAATCCTAGCAATAAAATATGCATTGTCTTGTATGTTCTGTAATACCTGTAAGGCCAACTTTCTTTCTGCACATAAAACATCTGTTCTTCTTTGGTTTGGGCAACTCAGGAGCTTTTTCTTCACCTTGAGAAGTACTGGGCTGAGAAACTGATGGACTGGGCTGAGTGACAACTGAAAAACAAGGGTGAAAATGAGATATTTGTCAAGAGTTCACGGGCTGATAATTATTTAAATAAAAAAAAGAAAACATTTAAGAGAGACAGTAAGATTTTTAGTGAAAACATTTATGAAGCCTTTTTTAAAAACACGTGCTCTATGTAGAATTTTCTACTTTAATACCAGAACTTCTTTCAAATCTTGAGGATTTCTTGCCAATCAACATATACTCGCTCCTTTAAATGCTGTAAAATGATTACTCCACTCAAATTCCTTTAAACTCACTCTTAACAGCTAGTACTGGGGAACAAAATCTCAAGTTTTAAAGACCTGGGAGATGTTGGTCACATGCCCAGTTTTCCCATACTGCACTTGCCTAAATGCAAATTTCCTAATTAGGGCAGTTCACCTTCATTATTATTGAGTAAATAGAAGTTGCCAACCTCTAAGGAACTTGGCTATAAAAAAGTCATTTTGGTTTTATACTGATACAAAAGAAAGACTGTATAGATAAATCCAGCAAATTGCGACAAGTGAAACCTAAATCGTTAAGCCCAATTAACTTCAGATCCCAACATTTTACAATTATCATTTTGCCATTTTAATGAATGCTTTATATGGTCATACGTAGAAGATCTGAAGAGTTCTTAAAAAACTTTTCGAAATATCAGCAAACACGGTCTTTAGAACTGCTTAAGTACTTGTGAAATTTTGACTATTAAGGAGTCCACAGGCAAAACGAGAATTTTTAACGCACAGCTTTTATTTACTTTGCAATACTTATCTAAACCAGGTGTGGAACTTAGACAATGAGAAATATGATCTACTTTAAAAAAGTCCCTGTTTCTCCACCTAAAAGGGCTTTAAATTTTAATTCATAGAAGACATCAATAAAACTTGTCAATATGAAGATAAAATTACAGTTCACCACATTAAAGCCCACATTATCACTATTTAAAACAAAATACCAAATTTAATTCTACGTTTATAAAATTCATCTATACCAGAAGCCCTGACTTTTAATATTAATCCAAACCCAAAGAATAGCAAATTAATGTATGCAATGGGCCAGCACTAATGCTATAAGCATAAGTCCAAACTCTACAGCAAGCGTACAGGTTTCAGGACAGCTCACTCTAAAAATGCTCCCCTAATGTATAACTCATTTGCATTAGTAACATATTCGGTGAGACAAATAGCTTAAGATTAGACTAACGGAATAATATTCTACCTACTACTTATCCTAATAATCTATTATGACAACCTTATTCCAGTTTTTCCTGATGGTATGTTGGTAAAGAATCTATGGGAATAGTTGGAGGGGGGGAGGTGACAGCCACTTCTTTGGCTACATCAGAAAACTGAAGAATGATTCCTGGGACATACAGGGAAGAAGGGGAAAATGACTCAGTAAAGGCAAAGAGAACAAACTACAGAGTGCCTACTAAGAGAGCATAATAGCAGAGACTAGCTACAAATATAAACCAAGAGTACTGTTCCAACGTCAGAGTAATTTTGTGTTAAAAAAAAAAAAAAACCAAAAAAAAAACCCCCCAAACAGAAGAAAAGCCTCACAAACACACTAATTTGGTCAGCTTTTTCAGAAGGATTGAACTCATTTCAAAATACTAAATATGTATTGACCTGAACTTAAGAATTTTTACCTTAACTTTACAGATGAACACTGCTATAATTCACATAAGCTTTGCTATGTGATGTTAGCAAAAGCCAGCCTCCAAAGCAGATTACATATCCACAAACACAATTTCCTCATAATAAAGTTGTATAATGGGTTTAGTCAACACTGTGTACCAGGAAATAATGAACTATGTGCTCTGAAGAGTACGGGGCTACTTGTTCCAGGGTCCAGCACAGGTAATTCAGAACAAGCCAATCTCTGGCAACAGGTTGTGCTACAGAAGCAGAGACTCAAAGCCACTCAATGAAAAAAATGCCTTTCCAGAGTTGAGTTTTAAAATCCCACAAAACAGGATAGGGATCCTACACTTCTTCAATCTGAAAGTTTTTTTAGTGTTCAACATGTTCTTTGTCCTCAGTATTTTCTACAATATCAAGACTGATACTGCCTTTGATATAAAATTTTCTTCATGGCTTTGAAATTTAATCTATATAATTTCCCATTCATGAATACTTTCCCTAGTGATTTAAAGATCTTTAAAATATATTGGTAAACTACTTTTTAAGTTCATTAAATTCTTAACATTTCCAGTCCCCAGATTATCAATTTTGCGGATTTGTGGGGTGGGGCTAAGGAGGGGGCATGGGCAGAAAAGAAAGAAGAGTAAAGAGTGACTATTTTACGCTTAAGGGACTTTAAAGACAGTAGTTCTTGCTTGGCCCGTATTTTATGGCTTTCTCTCCAATTTAATCTTTCAATGAGAAGGAAATAATCCCCCCGCCAACACTTTCTCATACTACCAAATCCAGAACAGAACTAGTATTAAACAAAAAGCATACCTGGCTCTGACACCTCTGTTTTCGGGGTAGTTATTTTATCCTCTCTCGAAATGCTCATTTCTGTCATTTGCTGAGTTACAGGCAAGGCGGCCACAGGCACATTTCTATTTGAGTTCAAGCAAACATTTTTAAAGATGTTAAGGGTACTTCTTTGCAAGGTAAGTTGTCAGTTCAACTTTAAATTATGTATCATTTCCAACACGATCAATGGAGCTAAATACTCTAAAAATTTAAAAGAGTACTGGATGCCCAGCACACATCGTTGAGGATAAAGAAAGCCATGTGATAAACGGCTCATCAATTCCAGGCCACATACTTGGAGAGGTTCCAGTGTTCTATTATAGCCAACTGGAACTTCTAGCTGTGCCTGTAATTTAAGGGCAAAGGGGCAGCTTTGCCAAAATGCCATGTGTAGCACTCGAACAGAGTCTGCAGAGCCGTACTCTCCACAATCCCTAAACCTCAATTACAGGAAAATAAAAGCACAGCACTCCCAACACAGCATCATGGAGTGTGTTATAATATACATCTTTATTCAATGACCTATAAGATCATGTATTAAAAGAATCCTGGAATCCCAGATTGTGCAACACAAAGCCAAGGGCATCTGATATATTAACATCCTTAGGATATACGAACACTCAGAACAGTACGGACAGCACAGATATCTTTATTTCCTCCTTGTATTATTATAAAAAGCCTGAAATGGTCAATCTTACCTTGATTTGTCAGATGTGCTGCCAGCAGCACCTTCACAGTTGTTTAAACTAGTGTCTGCTCTCTGTACAGATGCAGAATCTGAGGTAGGACTGTTGGAACCACTAGCTGTTCCTATTTAAAAAAAGGATTTGTAAGAAAGAGCAAGACTACAAACACTCAGTATCAAGACTATTAAGAAGTAACAAATACTTGCATTTAATTAGGTTAGTGATTTAAGCATTTTCACTGTGCTGCAGAATCCTACAATTAAGTGAGTATCCAAACAAAAGCATATATGAAAAAGTCACATCCAGTGAACCTAAGTATGAAGCAAAACCTCAAAAATGAAAATGAAAAAGCTAGAAGATGCTTGTAGATACACAGTCATTCATTCCTGAGGTAGTCGTTTTAAGTACTTGAGCTGATGCTTTAATTTCAAGCTTTTCTCAGGTCTTCTCTCCTTGGGCTCTCAGCATTGATTCTCACAGTCTTAGGACCCAATTCTTGGTTCTATATTTTCTGTCCACCAGTTCTTCAAATGGGTTTTTCCTTGGAAACTTACCCATTGGGCTCATTCTGCCACTATTCTGCTGCCTCTGAAGATGTTCTTTGTAGCAAACGGAACACATTCCATTTGTCCTAGGATTCCCATAAAAGCCACATCCTGTACTACACAGCATGGGCCCTGGGGTCTGGTTAGTCTCCTGAGCCATATTTTTCTGCTATAAACAAAACAAAAACAAAATTTTATTAATTAGCATGTTACCAAAGCAAAATCACTAAATTAGTATGATAGCCCCCAGCATACCTTTGTTACTTCTAAACACCAAGTGTTTCTAACGAAGGCCCAAATTATGTTAATCATTAACAAGAGCAGGCCAAGAAATATGACTGTTTTGTTGCTTTTATAAAACAATGGGCATTAAAGAAACCGTCTTTTAACATGATAAATAATGAACTGTAAGGACTTCACAGTCTTTAGGACAAAAGAAATTCTATCATTAAACATTAAAATGTATTACTTCACCTATCACCATGATCTTTGTTTCAATTTCTGAAGAGGTCACTCTGCCAGATATCAGAATTACATTTAAATCAATCTGGGCAATCGGCATTCTTAAAGTCACTTTCTGCTTTCCTGTACTACAGGCAGACCATATCAAATGGTGTTTTTAGCTAAAAATATATAAAATGGACCTTGCAAATGAAAAAAATCTACAATGATCACAATTAAGTATCAACTCTTGATAGCTACTGGTGGTTCTTTAAACTGGTCATATATTGGATGTTGCTCTTAAAGCATTCTTAAAATACCTTGAACATACTTGGGCCTCACCAGTAATTCAACAATTCTGCTATGGGGCAGAACAACTGTACTTTAAAAAAACGTTGCACCACCTTTACAGAACACTGAAGAGAAAGCTGGTAGATCATCTAGCCTTTCCTGTTACCTTAGCACCAACAAGCAAAGCTCTTTAAGAATTTAGGGGTCAGGGGCGCCTGGGTGGCTCAGATGGTTAAGCGTCTGCCTTCGGCTCAGGTCATGATCCCAGGGTCCTGGGATCAAGTCCCACATCAGGCTCCCTGCTCAGCGGGGAGCCTGCTTCTCCCTCTGCCTCTCTCTCTGTCTCTTATGAATAAATAAAATCTTTAAAAAAAAAAAAAAGAATTTAGGGGTCAGCTGCTTATGAAATTCCCTTTAAGTTCTGCATTTGAGGTGTGAAATCTGGGTCTGAATACTTTAAATAAAGTCAGTGCCCAGAAACCTGCAAATGGACAAATTATCAGCTATAGATTTCTCCAACCAAAGGCTCCATCTATTAAAACTTTTCACAAGTGCTTGTCTTCCTCACATCAGGAAATGAAACCTTTGAAAACTCTACTTCAATACGGCAAAGTAAAGCAATGTGAACACACCACCTTTGGTAATTAATATTCAATGCTAGGTTACCAGAAAAAACTTCATAGAGCAAACATACCTTGCTTTTCCAGAAGCCTTTTAAAATTAGCACCAATATAGTAACGCTATGCTAAATTTAGTAAATTTTTCTAAGTGAAAATACACATAATGCAAAATTTAAACTGTGGAAAGTTTCCATATCACTTAAAATATGTAGGTACAAAAGGCGTATTTGAGAGCATTTTATCAAAGGGAGATTGTGTACTAGAACTTGTGGTCACTGTCATTTAAATATGCTTAATGCTTACAATGGAGATTACTTATGATTTGTTAAGCTATAAACATTTCAAGTAAGTGCAGGAAAGTACTTCAAGCTAGAGCTTATCATCTCCTAGAATTTCATATGGCTTTTCCCAACTACCACACAGAATACATTCTTTAGTAAGTTACTAAAAACAATGTTTTAACAAGTATTTAACACTTTTTAACCAAGATTAATAAAAAGGGGTTAGAAGACTAATCAATACTGACCTGGCCAGAATCCTGCCAATATTTCCCCAACAGTTAAATGATAGTAATCTTTCCTTTTGTTAGCAAAAAGAAGTATTTCAAGCCAGTCAAGCTTATATGGAGGGTGATGGAGAACCACAACTTACTTCAAACAATAGTACTAATTTAGCAGACACGGTCTCTTTAAATAGTAAGCGGAATTTAGCTGACTCATTTTGGAGCAGGGTAGTGTAAATATTTCAACATCACTTATGAAGTTTATTAATAAACATTTTCAGCTTGGTTTTTAAAAATTTTTAATATGTGCAAAAATGCTTCAAATAATAAATTATGTATTTATTTGCATGCCCCCCATGCAATGTGTGGGAATCTACCCTATGCAAAAAGGTCACTCCTTGAAGCCAGCTTAAGAATTATGCTAGCTCACAGTTTCTATACTAACTTCCAGTGTCATCTGACAGTGGCTTTGTAATAGCAAACTGGCCTAAATTTAAGAGTCAACCCACGTTAACATTAGTGCATCCAATTCTTAAAATCTTTTCCTTTATATAAAAAAAGGGGGGATCTCATCAATGATTTTACCCACTTCGACTTGCCAAGTATCCCACCTTTCCTTCTTCAGAAAACACAACTACTTTCAACTCACTATAAATAGCCTGCAACTGAAACACAAGAGACACCAGGACATTAGTCTTCCACATAGCTTCCCATCTTGTAGATTTTTCCCCCCTAGAAAGCCAGCTTTTAAACGCCATCACATGTGCAAAGCTTGCCTTAATATTTCTCAGAAGCTTAGATCACATGGGCGGGCGCTTCAGCCTGTCACAAGGCTGCAATGTGACAGGCTGAGCTGGATGGAGGCTCTCACATAAAGCCTAGTCAACAGGGGCCTCTGAAATCAGCTTCTATTTATATCTTAGAGCCTGCCAACTCCTACACAACCCCAAGAACTAAGGATGCTGCGTTCATAGATCTAATATAATAAGGAAACAAAACAAAAAAATGCCATTAAGGCTACTGCAATTTTTTTTTTTTAATGTAGAGGGCTAGCGAACAATCTCAAATTCAACTAAGATGCATCATTAATCACTCATGAAGCCAAAATGGTCAGGTTGTTTATAAAAACCAAGCACAGCAGAGAGAGCACCGAGGCAGAAAGAATCCTCATGTTTAAATCCTTCTGCTCAGCAGCAATTTGAGGGAGGGGGTAGTTTGCCAGTAGATGCTGTTTCCCTCCTGCTTGGCACCATTTTAGAAAAATACATCATCATTACTATTTAGTACCTTTAAAGTTTTGTTGTTAGAAACTTGTGCGTTCCTGGGTCAGCTCTATCAGATACAGAGGAAATGTTTATTTTTATATTTTGTATAGCTGAAATGTGTATTTTTACAGTTTGTGGCTTCTTCTCATAATTTTTAAGATTTTATTTACTTGACAGAGAGATAGCACAAGTAGGCAGAGCGGCAGGCAGAGGGAGAGGGAGAAGCAGGCTCCCCGCTGAGCAGGGAGCGGGATGCGGGGCTCGATCCCAGGACCCTAGGATCATGACCCCAGCGGAAGGCAGACACTTAACCGACTGAGCCACCCAGGTGCCCCTAACTCATAGTTTAAAGAAAACTAAAACCTGGGCATGTAACAGAGAAACTCTCCAGCCTCAAATACGAATTAAAAAGACAAAACTAAAAAAAGGCTTTTACACTTATGTTATTTAGTTTTCAGGTGCTCACGTTAGAAGATGTTAAGAATGCCTACTCACCTGGACTTGAGATCTGAGTTCTAGTCACTAATTTACTTCTAACTAAGCCAGTGACCTTGGGCAAGTCCTTACTCTCCAGATCTCCCTTCTCTGTTTGCCAAAAGGAGACTACTCTGATTTTTGAAGGCTCCTTTCCAGGCTTAATACCGGGCCTGAGATAGAAAATAGGGGAGAACTACAATAAATTCTTTCTTGGGGAAACATTAAAAAAAAAACCAAAAACTTGTTAAGATAAAAATTGCAATATTTTCACCCATTAAGTTCTGAAAGCCTACTTTTAAAAAGCTCAGGAATAAAATAAAATTAGTTTTAATTTCTTTTTTTTTTTAAGTCTGTAAATTACCTGAATGCCAGGTTTAAAACCAGGGGCTCTGTGACCTATATACACTACTTTACCCTAATGTCCTTAGACCAGATTCTTAGGAGGCGTTCAATAGAGGTAACACGGGCCTTTCCTCAAAACAGCTCCACGGAGTGCGTGGAAAGCAAGCAAGAATTTCATGTTCACCAGCCTACATGCATGAAACAAAGGGGAAGGTGCTCCATTTCCTTCATGAAAAGGATCTTGAGCGAAAAACGCAGCGACGCTGGCAAAACTAAAACGCGACGACAGAAGAGCCCCCCCCCCCATTCCAGCGGATTTCCGAACAAGTCCGGGTCCCACTGGTCCCCCCCATTCCTCCCCACCATGCCCTCTCTAAGCCGAGGCCTTGCTCAGGAGAGCCCAGCAGGGCCTTCTCCAAAAACCACTGAGTCATGCAGAACAGCAGCTCCGCAGGCCAGGCCGGCCCCGCGCCGACCCCCGACCCTGACCGGCTCCTCCGAGGAGGCGTCGGCGAACTGGGGAGGGAGGGGGGTGCGGCGAGCAGGGGGCCGGGGGTGCGGCCGCCGCCACGGCCCCTTTGTCTCTCCGGGTCCGGCTGCCCACGCCGGGCGCCGCGCAGAAGGCGGCCGGGACGGACGCGAGGAAGGCCCGGAGCCCACACGCCGGGCATTGTTCTCCGGACCGTGCGGGTGCAGGCGAGCCGGGGGCGCGGGGTGCCGGACCTCGGGCCACGACGACAGGATGACGCCTCCGTCTTTGTGCTTCCTGAGCTGGCGAGGGGGCTCCCCTCCCCCGGAGGCCGCCAGCCGCGGCCCGCTCGGGCTCCGCC